CTGGAGAAGATTATTGAATATACCATGGACTGCTAGGAGAACAAATAAGTTCATCCTAGAGAGGGTCAAACTGGGCTGCTCCTTGGAGGCAAGGATTCTGAAGCTTTCTCTGACATACTTTGGACATGTTGCAAGGCTGGATCAGTCCTTGGAGAGGGACATCGTGCTTGGGAGGGTGGAGGGACAGTGCAGAAGAGGAAGACCCTCTATGAGGTGGATTGATTCAGTGACTGGAGTAATGGAGATATGTGTGTCGGAGACAGTAAGATTGGCACAGGACAGAGCAGGGTTTAAGGTTGTTGTACATAAGATCGCTATGAGTCACAGGCAACTTGACAGCACATAACAACAAACAACAACTTCTCAAAAGATAAGGCAAACTGAAAAAGCAAATAATCTAAAGATAAATTGATCTCATTGTGGTATGGGAATAAACCCTGTACATACTGATTGCATTGATGTGAAGCACAAAAATCAGCAAAATGAATGTGTGATGATGAAAGTCAGAGAATGGTTGCCCCTGAAAGGCTGGAGGGTAAGGGATTGTCTGGAAAAGGCAGTATGAGGGAAATTCCTGGGGTGATGAAAATGTTACGTATGGGCACACCCCAGATTAAGAACCGTCCCCTTCCTAAATCTGTCTATAAGTCAAGCTTGTACACATGTTGGAGGAGTTGGGTTCATCCTTTACATCAGTGAGTCAGATGTTTGCCTTAGTGTGTAGTATACTTTCTGTGCATAAAAGAAGCACTTCCTCTTACACTAATACATCTTTAGCATAATAACACAACAGTAATAATGTTTTGATCAGTGTAGCAGAGCAGAGGCCGTTTGTAATTATGAACCATTGCATATACGTTCTCCACAGTTGAGGATAACCATAGGGCAAACATTACCCCAAATACTCAGAAGTCCTCTCATATGAGATCTTTGAGCCCAGTTAGATATTTTTTGGTAGACTCTGAGCTAAAGAGAAAAAAAAGTAAATAAACCACAAACCTATGTTGTACCACTGGGCTGTATTTTTGCTTGATTTTTAACCCTCTTCAGAAACAGGCAGAGTTAGGGCTTGAGTAGGATAGAACATTGATGTCAGTTTGAAGACTAAGGTGCATCTGATTCAGGCCATGGTCTTCTCAGTCATCTGCTATTCCTCAGAGAGCTAGACAATGAATAAGGATGACAGAAGAAGAATTGATGTCTCTGAGTTGTGGTGCTAGAGAAGAGTACTGAATATCCATGGACAGATGTGTCTTGGAGAAAGTGCAGCCGGAGTGCTCCTTGGAGGCTGAGATGGCAAAGCTTCACCTTTCATATTTTGGGCATGTAACTAGGAAAGGCTGTTCCTTGGTAAGAGACATCGTGCTTGGAAAGATGGAGGGTCAGTAAGGAGAGAAAGACCCTCGGTGAGATGGGTTGACATGGTGACTTCAGCAGTGGGCTGTAGTGTGTCAGAGATAAAAGAGGACAGCACAGGACAGGGTCAGTTGTTCATAGGATCCCTGTGAGTTGTGCTGAGTTGCACTCAACTTGATGGCCTAACAGCAACTGGGTCCGTTGAACTGTCTGTCCCCCATAAACTCCTCACCAGACCTGCCGGCCCTGCACACCAGCTCTGCAGCCCTTGTCAGAACGCTCATACTGATAAGGAACCCTGGGGCCAAGGGTATGAGAGAGGACATCTAGGAAAAACCAAATCTGAAGTTCTCCAAGGACTGCAGAAATCATGAGTGTGCTGGGCTCGGGGCTCTTTAAGACTGCCCTCTACCTTCTAGCTACCAAAGACCAAGAACTGCTCCAGTATGAAATCCCACTTGAGTCAGTAGGGGAACAAGCCCAGAGAGGTACTGTTGGGCCTGCATAGCATGGAGGACCCAGTGGGATGGGGGGGACAGAGCTGGGGGAGGGAGGGGATGCTGGCTGTGTGCCCACTGCCCCACACTGACTGGGTGGACCTAGTGGGCAGATAGATGTAGAGAGGGACACTCATCTCCCACCATCACTGCCTGGAGCACTGCATGGAGGTGCCTGGGTGCACCTTGAGCCCTTTTTGAGCTTCGGATAGGTGGGTGCGAATGGATTCTCCGCTTACTGCTTCTTGCTGCCTCATGTCACATGAACTTGTCCACCATCAGCTGCCACCCCAAGGACCCACTGCAGCACCCGGGCGTGGGGACTGAACACAGAGTCATTTTCCTGATAGGATTTGGAGGAGCTGATTGATAACAGCAGTTTGCATGTAAATCGGACATTATTGACCCACAGACTCTCTGTTTTGGCTGATGACCACAACATCACAGCCATATATCTGAATGCTTACAACTCTGTGCAGGAGCCCTTACAATGGTTAAGGCACTTGGTTGCTAAATGAAAGGTTAGCAGTTCAAACCCCCCTAGCTTCTCTGTGGAAGAAAGGTGAGGCACTACTCCCATAAAGATTTACAGCTTTGGACACTGGGCACTTCCACTCTGTGCAATGAAGTCATGATGAGTCAGAATTGACTCAGTGGCCCTGGGTGGGTAAACTTCGTAGCTTATTGTATGCAAATTCTATTTCAAAATTTAAAAAAAAAACCTTTTTAAGACGGTATAGTCATCCTTCCTAATGGTTGTAGACTTATAAAGAGTAAGCGGAAAGCGAAAGAGGTCAAGTGATTCACCCTAAACGTCCAGAAAGTCAATTATCCCGGGTTGCACAGTGGTTACTTGTTCACTGCAGCCCAGGTAGATGAAGTCACCAGGTGAGTTTGCAATTTGAGCCCACCTGGTGACGTTACGTGAGGAAGACCCTGCCATCTTTCCCCATCAAGATTGCTGTTGTGTACTGGTAGTTGGAACCAATTCACAGCTGACCCTCCAGCGGGATTTCAGAGGAAATTGGTTGCACAGGACGGGATTGCTTATCTTTCTCCCATGGGCAGCTGGTGGATTTGAACCATGTTCTTTTGGGTAGACAGCACAACTGTTTACCACTAAGCCACCAGAACTCCTTCTGTAAGGATTACGCCCAGAAAACCCTTTGGGCAGGTCTCCTCAGTTACATGGGGATACCATGGGTTGACATCGGCTTGATGGCGTCCAACAGAATTCATAGTACCGCCCTGGAAGGAGAACGCCCTGCATTGCTGCTTTGCTGGGCAGCGTCTCGTCCAGAAGTTATTACACTGGAGGGGCATTCTCCCTTAGGAGATTTGGTGTGTGTCTGTGGTTGTTGTGGTTGTGTACTGTCGAGTTGGAACCGACTCATAGCTGACACCCTGGTGGGTTTTCGCACCAGAGAAGATTGTCCATCTTTCTCCCATGGAGCAGCTGGTGGCCTTGAACCATGTGCCTTCAGGACTGCAGCACAGCTTCTTGCCACTAGGCCACCAGAGCTCCCTGTTGTACCTATAGGAGTGTGTGAGATTCTCCAGTGCAAAGTCCGGATCCTGGAGCTCCAGAAGTTGTGGGAGCTTTTGGGGCTGTTAAGCCACCCTTGTCACTGTGAGGACAACTTCAGACTAGCTTGGGGAGGGCAGGAGCCCAGGCCAGAGTCCCCTCCCGCTTTACTAATTAGCTGAGTGAACCTGGAAATTCCACCAGACCCTAAGCTTCATTCTGCATGTCAGCCTCCAGCGGAGGTGCCACTCCTGCCACTTCCCAGGCTGCTAGACAGGTCCCACCAAAGGCATGAGCACCGCGCAAGAGCCATCACTGACATTTTCCTCTTCTGGAAAGGCTGGCCTTTTGGCATTTGACTTCTGAAGCCTCCCACCCCAATCAGGAAACGGTGGGGATGGCTTCCCCCTTTCTGAGGCCCATGGGCCTGTAGGGGAAGGGAGTTTACCCTTTTCCATCGAGGTCTGTGCTTCTCCCAGCTGTAAGAGCTAGTGTATGTGTTTGGGCTGAAACATCGAGAGCATCCATGAGGAACGGCTTAGCAGAACTGTTCTGCACATGCCAGGAGAGGAAGGCAGTCTCCCCTGAGGGGCGTGGATTGCTGGGCCAAGTGGCTAAACCTGGAGGGTGTGGGGGAAAGGTCTTTTTTATTAAGAGGGAGAGCCCTTTTCTGCTCCTGCAGGGGCAAGTAGTGTAAATATACATTGAAATCATCCATCAGCCCAGCGACTTCCCTTCATCAGACCTTGGAGAAAAAGCACTTTAGCTGCTGCTTGGAATACCACTAAGCTGGCAGAGTTGCCTAGGATACCAGGTCACATGGGCCCATCTTCCAGACTTGCTCAAAATGATTTCTTTTCTTTGCGGGAGGATGGAGGAGGGGGTCGGGCACTTGCAAAGCCTTGCCCTCCTGGAGAGGCCCTCTGTACCCGGCTGTCCTCACCTCCCTGCCCCCAGCCCTCCACAGCCCTTGCCCTTGGCACTGGGGACTAAAATAGCATTTCCTGCCCCAGTTCTCTTCCCCATTTTCTGAACTCTGCGTCATCCCACACAGAGGAGGCTCCACATTCTGTCTTTGAGGGGGAGGGAGTGGTGGCAGTGAGTAGGGAGAAGGCAGGAGAGCATGTGTCTGGGCGCTGCTGACTCCAGTCATCCCGGGTGAGTGTGGAGCTGGAGTAGGATGGCTTGTTCAGTTAACAACTCAGCCAAGAAAGGCTAAGTCTAATCTGCCTTGGAGCTTGTGCCTGTCCACTCTCAGGGTCCCAAGTCAGTAAATAGGCTCTGCCACCCACCGGCCTCTTGGCCCTTAAGCTCAGGTTTCGGGTTGGCAGGACTTATGCTGCTGATAATGGACAGATGATGGCCTTGTTGAGTTTCTGCTTGCTGACTTAATCTGAAGAGACAAAAGCCCAAGACGTTGCGTCATGAGCTAGAAAAATTCAGACTAAGGAGTTTTGTCTGTTAACTTTGAACAGTATCTGTCTGCAGATTTTCTGAAGATAAAACAAGAGTGAAAAACGAAGGAAGGCTGTGTGACTTTGACCCTCCTAATGCTTTGTCCGCAGGCAGCTTTGTCCCTCTGTGCCGGTGCGTTGGAGAGGTAGGACCCACCAGGACTGGCAATGCCCCCACCATCAGACATCGTCAAAGTGGCCATCGAGTGGCCGGGTGCCAATGCTCAGCTCCTTGAAATCGACCAGGTAAGTTTCTGAAATGGGTAGTGTTGCAGGAGGTGGGTTCTGAGGAGAACATGGCAGAGCATGTCCTTAGGGACAAGGCGTCATTGGCATCGGGAGTTAAGAACCACAGCAGGAAGCTGAGCTTTGGGCCTGATGCCCCTGAGAAAGGTCAGACACCATGGCTTGGAAGACGTTTCCTCTTCAACAGAAACTCGGAGGACAAAGACCGTCCGTGGGCCCCAAGTTGATCCTGCTCGCCAGCCCTTCCAGTGAGAACCTGGGCACAAGTAGGATTTGGGTGTTGACAGCGGATCTCTCTGTCTCTTTCAGAAACAGCCCCTGACGTCCATCATCAAGGAAGTCTGTGATGGGTAGGTGGAAGCTGCCTCCGTGCAGACAGTCGCATCTCCAGCTTGATGGGGCGCGTGAAGGGAGTCCTGCCACCGGCTCTCTAGTTAATCAGGTCCCCACTAGTAGGCTTTCTGGTTCCTGGCCCGAAGAGCAAGTACACGTGATTAAGCTGGCCTTAGGACCCATAGCTCTTCATTGCTTTTCCTTGCTGTTCAGAGCTGCCCCTGTTGAAGTCTGGTGCGATCTGAAGCCCTCACTCAATCATACAATCTTAATTTTGTGGTGTTAATTCTTGCTAAAGGCTGCATTGGTTATTTTTCAACATCTCAACCTAAAAGTTCGCTTTTTCTCCCCGCATCTTCTGTACTTCTCCTTTGAATGTAGACCACTAGTCCTCGGAGCAACTCTATTTAGAATGAGTTCTTTATACCTCTGGGTCACCTGAAGAGAATGGCTGAATGGGCTGTGTGCTTTTTCTTTTGCACAGATGGTCGTTGCCCAACCCAGAGTACTACACCCTCCGCTATGCAGATGGCGCTCAGCTCTACATCACTGAGCAGGTGAGTGCCGGAGCGGGCGGCCCAGTGAATCACGCACGTCTTACCTCACCTGGCATCCAGGTGGCTTCCACTGACTGGATGCGGAGCTGCTCCTGGGGCAGATCGGGCAGTGTCTTCCTTGTTCCCTGGTGGCTGACAAGCTTGGCTTTCCCCCCTCAAGAACCTAGTGTACTTGGAAAGAACCTTGAGGCCTGTTTGCCAAGGAACAGGCAAGAAAAGAGGCCTGACTGAAGAGTCTCTCAGTCACAGCTCCTTAAAAAAGCACAGAAAGTTCTTGTTGATTTAACTTGCTTGCAGTGTCCATATTTATTTTGTGTTACAGTTTGGTTTTTTTTTCTCCCTCTCTGTTATTCAGACACGCAGTGACATTAAGAATGGGACGATCTTACAGTTGGCCATCTCCCCGGTAGGTATTCTGTTTCCCTGGAAGTGCATTCATTTTAACAAACGTTTATAAGCACCAACCTTCGGTCAAGGACTGGGCTGCCTTGGGCGTGCCGTGGTGTTGGTTCTGACCCCTGATGATGCCACAGGACAGGGAAGAACCGCCCTGGGGCCTCTGGAGCTGTGCATTTTTAAGGGAGTAGATGACCATGTGGAGCTGCTGGTGGATCTGAACTGCTGACATTTTTGGTTAGCAGCCAAACACTTAACCATTGTGTCACCAGGGCTCCTAGAAAACAAGGACTAGAGAGATGAAGAAGGCAATCTGTACTATCTGAGCGTAATGGGGAATGAACAGTACAGAACTGGAGAGAGTGTGAAGGTGCTGAAGGAGGACAAAAAAGGGACCCTCTGACTCCTTGCCAGAGGAGGGGAGCGTTGTTCAGATGTTAAAGAGAAGCAAGAATTAGCTGTTGAAGGAAGAAAGTGGCAAGTGTTCTGAGGAGAGAGATGAGTGGGTGCGAGGCTGGGAGGGTGGGGCCTGAGCTGCTTGGGGAAGGCGGGAGAAGTGCTGGTTGGCGGAGGGGCAGTGGCAGTCACCGAGGGGCCAGAAGGTGAAGGGTCCTGGGTGGCCTGCGCCTGGGCTTGGATTTTATCCCAAAGAAAATGTGAGAGCACTGGGGGATTTTGAGCAGGACGGTGTATTGTGCTTAGATTTATGTTCTAGAAAGATTGTTCCAATGACAGCATGAAGGAGGGGCTACAAGGAGGAAGATTGGTGGTAGGAAGACCATGGAAGAGGCCAACGAGGAGTGTTCACAGCCCCACAAAGGCAAATGCAGCTGGAAGGATGGACGTGAGGAATATTTAGGAGGACAGCTTGATGAATATGGTGATAGGAGCTGCTGTATGTGGGAGAAAGGGAAGAGTCCCAGATGACCCCTGATTTCATCAGGGACAGTCCTTACAGGCGACTAAGAAACATCCAGAAGGGTAGGAAGAAGGCCAGGAATGTGGAGGGGCTCAGGACGTAGCCTCTGCGGGGCTTCAGGATGGAGGGAGGTGTGGGCTTCAGCTTTTCATGAGCAGAGAAAGAAAGTCAGTGGGGCAGGAGAGCTGTCTGTGACCTTAGACATCAAGGAGTCCCCAGTGAGTAGAAGACAGATACAAGGCTGAGGAGTTGGACGACTTGTCACTTGATTAAGAAGCTTGATGATAAAAGGAAGTAACCAGGGTAGTAGCCAGAGAGGCTGTGGAGTCGAAAAGATGAGTTTGCTGTTCTCGGTTTTTAACGAATACAACAGTACTATGTTTGACTAATCAGAAGCTGTATAAAGCTGTAGCGCCCCCCCCCTTGCCTGTTCCCCCACTACCTCGTTCTCCGTCTCCTCCCGTCTCTCTCAGGTGGTGACTTCCACTGTAGTTTATTTATTTTTTTAAAAAATGTGACCTTGGAAACATGTTAAGGTAGAAAAAAAAAGAATTGAATCTTTTTAAAACAAGGTAAGAAAGAGCCACTAAAGAGGAGAGGCTTGAAGGTGCAATGAGAAGGGTGGTTCATAGAACGGGATCTTCCCGGGGCCGGACAGTGGCCCTAAAGCCCAGGTGCGGGCCTCCTCCGCTGCAATCCCCGAGGGAGAGCATCGCCGTGGGTGCGCCCTGGTTAGGTTTGCAGGACGGCTCCCGGCGGAGTCAGGGCACAGTGCTTCCTGTTTCCTCAGGGAGGAGGGCGACAGGTTTGCTGAGAGGAAGGGGAACGACAAGGAGGAAACATTTCAAATTACCGTGGAGGAGAATGGAACGAGAGCTGTTTCCCTGCTGGTGAGACGGAGTTTATAGTGGGTCTCACTAAGTTCTGTCAAGAGGTTTTCTCCAAAAAAGCCTGAGTGTAGGTGCTCCTAGACCGCCATGCGCGGAGCCTTGGTATTACCAGTGGTTATGTGCTTAGCTGCTGGCCAAAAGGTTGGCAGTTCAAGCCCACCCAGAGCCCTATGGGATAAGACCCAGTGTCTGCTTCAGCAAAGATCACAGTGGAGAAACCCCTGTGGGGCAGTTCTGCTCTGTCACGTGGGTCCCCAGGAGTCAGAGTCAACCCAAGGGCACCCAGCGGCAGGCCAGGATATGGCTTTACGAGCGTCTTTCTTAGTTCACATTTGCATGCACTTTGCTGAAATTCTGGGCTTACACTGCCATTTAATCCTGATAAGATGGACACTCCTGATAGCCTCATTTTACAGACAAAGTAACTGAGACGTGGGGAGCCTGCCACTTGTCACACAGCTGCAGAGTGACAGACAGTGGAAGCCTGTCTGACTCTGAGCCCGTGTTCTGCCATCCTGCCCTTCTGCCTCCTCTTCCTCGTCTTAAGGCTTCACTCTCCCCTCTTAAGCTCTGCTAACGTAGTGTGACAGCCTAGGAGCTGCGGCTGGGGACATGCCGGAGCATTTTACAGGCCTCTTGAAAGGAGTGGTTGAGTTTCCCAGAAGCCATCTCTCCCCAGAGCAAGAGGCAGCAGCCCAGAAACACTGTCTCCGGAGGAACATTGACATTTCAAGTTGGAAGTTTCTAAGTGAGACAGCCCAGTGCTCTTCAAATTGTCCTCTCTGGTGACCTTTCCTCACACGGCACATCTTCTCACTTTGCAGAGATTGAGGGGTTTCTGTATCATCGAGGGCAGCCCACTGGTGAGCACCCTCCTTGTAACAGGCAAAGAGGGGAGAGAGGGGGGCACAGAGCTTCATTCCTTGACCAGGCACAGGGACAAGGCTTCATCTCCTGGCTCAGCAGTGGGAGAAGAAACAAAGCCCGCACAAGCGTTCGTCCTCCACCTGTTCACCCACTGCTCTCAGGTTGATTCCAACCGTGTGCCTCCCCCCAACCCCAGCCCACTGTCTGCCTTTTTACAGACTGAACCTTTCACAGAGGGAGATATCCAGGCCATTCTTCCCGGGTGCTTTTGGATGGATTTGAACTACCAGCCTTTAGGTGATAGTCAAGCACAGCCTGTGCCCTTTCTGTCACCCAGTTTTGCTCCAGAGAACTTTTAACACACAAAAAGTGGAGAATGATGGCATAGACGATGGTGGGGCACAGGCGTTAACTTTAATTAGTTCTGTGAGAGGCCCTGTAAGCGAATCCCAGCAGAGGGACTTAGCTGCATCTCTCAGAAAGGAGGCCAGCATCCTGGCTGGGCAGAGTTTATGGCAGAGAGAGAGATTGTACTTAACTAACCAGCATTTTCAAAAAGCACTTCTGAAATGAGCTCCCAGCTCCAGGCTCTTTGTTATTCTTCAAGTTTCCCAGGACTTTCACCTTAAGGAACATGATAAGGACTTTGAAAATTAAGGAGAAAAAAAAAATCATTAGCTTTACTTAACCGCATTCAAGATTGCAGTGAGCTGCAAGCGTTATCTGTTATATTCTCCATACACTGTAAGAACCTCTTCTGTAAAATCTTTAGCAGGTGGTTGTCCAGATCCGACTTGATTGCCTTCCAATGACAAGGAGCTCAGTACTTCAAGAAACAAACTGTTCTACTGTTTGACAGCGTTAATTCGTAGAAAACTTCTACATTGAACCAGCACATCTCTCCATAGTGGCAGGTTCCATATTTGTGGGTACAGTCAACCTCAGATCAAAAATGATAAAAATTACCTAGGGTGGGGGAGCAATGAAGTAGTCAAAGCAATCTTTTCAAAGCTCGGGGGGAGGGGGAGCAGAAAGCACTATTTGCGTGGTATTTACAGTATTTATATGACATTAGCGATGATAAGTAATCTGGACATGATCTTATGCACAGGAGAGAATGTGTAAAGGTTGAATGCAAAATGCT